AGAGAATGTCTGGGTTCTATCCACTGCAAAGCTAATCCACAAAATCTTGGGTTTGTTTTTGAAAAATTGCTAAACTCAGGACTATTGGCTAAAAATGTGAACTGGAAAATCTTGTTCATGAGCTCACCTCCTCCCACTTAGATTATTGTAATGCTCTATTTTCTTGTGTGTCTAAAGCATCTATTAATCACCTCCAATCTGTCCAAGATGCTGCCGCTCACACTTATAAATTCTTTAATATTTCCCTATTCCTAAAGTGTCTACAATGACTTCCGATTAGGTTTAGATATCAGTTTAAAATCTTGATTCTTACTATTATGACTTTACAAAGTGAGACCCCCCACTCACATCAATCTACTCCATCCATATTCTCCAAACTGGAGACCCACAGTTGAGGTCTTCCCGTCATCTGAAAAGTAAGGGAGATTGTGCATTCCAAACCTTAGCACCAAAACGGTGGAAAAGCCTAGCTTTCTCTGCCCCCGCTACCTTGTGGCACCTTTTTTTATAAAAAAAAAAAAAAAAAAAAGCTGAAAATACATCCATTCAGACAGGCAGAGTAATGTTTCTTTGTTTTGTATTGTTTCACTTGATTCAGGTGTCTTTATTTGACCATGTTTTTGATACCCTAAAGTACTCCGTGGCAGCTTCTTGTCTTAAAAACCGCTATATAAATTAACTTTACTTACTAGGTACCTTTATAATCTCTGGATTAAGATTTCGAGAGTTCAATAAACCTCAACATCTACAATGTTAAATGCTGTCCAAGTTTAGTCTGTAAAACACAGTTTTACACAGTTACACAGTTTTATCTCTTTTTTTTAAGTTGTTGCCATAACAACATTGAATCTTGTAGTAGTGTGTATGATCTGGCAGTTACTTTTACCTTCATTTTGCATAGTCAGCATTTAAAGCTGTATTATAGCTGTTTGTTTTGCTGCCTCAGTAACAAGTTACTGTTTGCCACTGTTTCCCCAGCATGAGAGAGTGCAAGAGGGGATATGACTGATAGAAAGAAATGCCAGTTATGCTTCTGCTCTGAATTTTCTGCATCATAAAACATTTACAAAAGATGTTTGTGCAAGACTTTGAGTCATGATGCATGGTTGTAAAAATGAATGGGAACTGGAGGCTAAAGCCAAAAATGGCAACTGTTCACTTGAATAATAATAGTAAAAAAAATTTCTAGCTTCCAGGTTTGCTCATGTGGGTGACTTATAAAAAATACTCTTTCCATTGCGATATTGGATATAGGCTGAATAGGATGGATATTTTTAGAATAATTGGATTGTGGATGGCCTCTAATCTGGTCATGGAGAGGTGTTATATATTTGTAAAAAACGATATATCTGTAAAAGCTTAAAAACCAAACACGTTTGCAGTTGAAGGTATTGTAACAACAGTTTTCCACACAGTGTCTAATGGGATCCCCCCCCCCTGTAATATAATGAATGGCAGCTGGAAAAAAATGTCTACAACTGATCCAGCTTCCTAATCCATCAGCGTTGACATCCAGGGGTCTTCCTCAGTCCTGCCTTTGCTTACTGTTTCTTGGCACATTACTGCCACCAGCTGTCAGTACAAAAAGAAGTAACCATCATGTGGGTGCATGCTTGTGCATACAAGATGTACAAAGCAAAATAGGCCCTACTAACAAAAATAATTCTCTGCCTTGCAGATAAAGGCTGATAGCGCTAGTGAGTTTAAGTTATAATAATTAGATTTAAATGTATTAATCATATTAGAGTCATATTAGCAGATGTCATTTTCTGTGAATGGTATTTCTCTTATTATTTTCTCTGATGCAGCATTAGTTTGTGGTTCAGGCTCTAGCACTTTGTTTTTTCACATAAACCTACATGTAAAAACTAACTTTGACTGAATCTATATTTTCTTAGATGGAGATCGTTTGTGAACACCAGCAGTTTCGTATTTTGGTGGATGGGCAGCCTCTGTGTGGCTTCACTCACCGCCTCTCCCAGCTCGCCTCCCTCACAGCCTTAAGAGTTTTTGGCGATCTACAGCTTACCAAGGTGGCCTAACTCCAGCGCCTCATACGCAGACACCTAACATGAGGATGCCCTGGGACAGTATACTATACAATAAATAAGATTAGAATAGACTACTACTTTCTGAGGGCATAAATTTCCCCATGAGGGGAATGTTGTGTTTCCAATTTCAGACAAAGTTACACCTGCCTCGTAATCACATGTTAAGACAAAGTGCCTTCACTAAGATTACCTGTCTGGAGACTTGAAGATCTTGACTGAATGTACCAGTCATCGATCTCTCAAGTCAAATGAGGAATGTGATTTTAACTAAAGTGAATTAAGTTTTAAAAAATGCGATCCGAGCTCTACTATTTTTCCTGAACGAACATTTGTACAAACATGATGTGTTACATCAAAAATTAAGTTTTTGTGATCTAAGAAAAAGAGATTTCAGGCATTTTGTCTTTGATTTCTCTGGGGTTAACCTTTGAAAGCACTTATGTTTACGAGCGCCCGCATCAAGGTGAATGTTTCTGAAACTGAATACCTAACAAAGATTGTCATTCTGTGCCAACGAAGTACTGTAACAGGAATAATAATGTAAAACAAGAAAAGTTACCCTCCATTACTGCATGCTAGTGTGACAGTGTGCTTGTGTCTTGATCAAACACAATGGTGGATGGATGCGAGTCTGTCAAACCTTCAGTTTTTCACCAACTTTGGCTTTGAAATCACCCGACAGTTTGTGTGCTTCATTTACAACTAGCACTTTTTATGTGAATGTCTCATAATGACTTTAATTCATTGCAATAAATCAAATTTGTTGTTATGTTTTTGATGTCTGGATTTTTTCCAAAACACAGCATCATCTATACAGCTTCATATATAGTATTCCTGTGGAAACTGCATCATGATTGCTGTGAAAACAAGCATTAAAACACCGCCACCTCAGCTTGAGTCATTCAAACAAAGGCTCGAGTCATCTTGCTGAGTGGGAGTGTCTGTCTATGATTCCTAGGAGTGTCTCATGCATGCACCTCTTGAGGCTTTTCTAGTCTGTACTTGTATTAAACTTCCCCTTGATGTCATACCCTTTACTTAAGAAAAAGCACCATTGAAAAACAGGCTCACTATTTAGGGATTGCCAGATTAGATTTATGACTTTTTAAGAAAATTTAGCACAACATAGAATGTAATTTAACGCCAATTACACGCTCATGTGGGCCTAAGCATGAAGCTATAGCTAAAACCAGTTATAATCTATAACTGTTTCTGAGCAGTATGTGACTATTAAGTCGTGCACCTGGACAAACTGTATGAATAAAGGACAGGGTTTCCAACGAAAAGGACTGATTAGTCACCTTTTTGATAAAATACACACCTTTGATACAATAAACCTCCACTACACCGGCAGTAACTGTGATTCATACAGGTCTTATGGTGCTGATTGAAAATGATTAAACAGGCTCTGTAAGCACCATGCACTTGCACGTGCTTTTAGTTTCTTGTATGTATATAACTCCCTCCAACAGTATGCAATAGGATACATGTGCTTTTTATATGTAGTTTAGTTTATTTCATTAAACAGTGTTTAATAATGTCTAAAGAATTTCTTGAAGGCATCAAAGTCCAAACTTCTTGTTCGGGCAAAAATATGTTTGTTTTTGACTGATATGTTATCATGTGATGCATGAATAGGTTGTTTTTCAGTGTTGCATCAGGTCCTTTGAAGCTATTCCAAGTGGAGTAAGCGTAATTATCTATTACACAGGTAGTTTAATCCAGTGATTCACAAAGTGTGGGGGTTAGGCCTTATTTACTTTAGTCACAAAAGCAAAGCCGAGGCAAACTGAAACTGTTCAAGCAGTTTGTTTTCCTCTTAAGGCCTTGGTTGTTATTCAAATTAAATAATCTGAGATGTTCGTGACAACAAAATGTCTCTCAAAGACCTCTATCAACCTCAAAGTCGATCATGGCTTTCACTTTTGTAACTGATTAAATGTCAAAATGTTCAAAACCACTCTTTTCATAGTATTTTTTTTTTTATTGTAACTTGTATTTAAATGTTTTTAAGAAAGAATCTTCACTTGAAAACCAGTCAAATGTAAAAGGACAAAATACATCCCCAGTTTAAAAAAAGAAAAAAAGAAAAAAAAAAGTAGTGGCACTGTGTAAAATGTAAATAATAAACAAATGTAAAAATGAGCAAATCTCATAAACCCATTTTATTCACAATAGAACGGAGAAAACAATTATTTTCAATTTGATTGCAGGAACAAGTCTCAAAAAACTTTGGACAGGGCCATGTTTACATCCGTGTAGCATCCCTTCTTCAGTTAACAACACTTCATAAATGTCTGGTAACTGAGGAGACCAGTTGTTGTTTTCTAGTTTTTCCTCAGTCATTTTAAATGAGCTTTGGCAAAGAAAAGACGATGGGATTTCTGGATCATGTTCACATACGGCTTCTTCTTTACTTGATTTTTGCTGATTAGTTGGCGCTTCTTTAGTACCACTTACTTTTCCAGCCTTTTGTCGCTCCTGTCCAAACTTTTTTGAGACACAATGCTGCCATTTAACACAAAATAAGCTAATATTTGTCATGAAATTGTAGAATGCCTCAGTTTCAACATCTGATATGGTTTTATTTATTGTGAATAAAAGGTGGTTTATTAGAAACACAATGCAAACTATTGCATTGTGTTTTTATTTATGTGGCAGAAAATGGAACTGAGAAAAAAAGTAAAGGAAATGTACAGTAAAATTTGTTGTAAATGTACTTTTCACTACTATGTTGTATAAAATTCAGCAAGAGACAATGTTCGTATAATTATGTTTCATTTGCATTTTATTAACACGTAAAAAAAAAAGGTTTAACTTAAACTGTTTACAAGATACACTGCTACAACTTTCAAAACATTCATATCCATTCGTATACTCACAAAGAAAACAATCAAACCAAAAATTGTATTCTAGGCACAAATGTACAGAAATGTTATGGAACCAGTAGCTCTGACACTGCTACACATTCTCTGAATATTTAACTTGAATCGTCTTCACCTGCTGAAACATGTTTTTAACATGAATCAGCACTGTGATCTTATTGCATCTAACCAGTCCATTTTCTCCTGGTGAGTTGGCGCCTGGATGAAGTAATGTGTGTCTCTCTGAGTTATAATTTTAAACAAGTTGCCTTGAACGTTGCCTTTAACACCTGCATGGGAAGAGAAAATAAGGTTGGTGAAGTGCATCTGCATGGATATATCAAACCTGATTTGGATGGAGAGACTGGCAAATAAAACAGACAAAAGCTTAAAATGCTTTTTTATTTCGCTGAGCTTTTTGATCTTAAATAATATAAAAGATAAGATAAATTTTATTAGGAGAACAGGTCTGTAATTGGATTACACAGAAACTTAGCATTGATACACAGGAGGAGTAGGAGCATGTTAGCACACTCACTTTTTTAGTCTTCATCTTAAAAAGTGACAAAAACTTAAACATAGTCTTATTTAAACTGCATTTCTGATAGTTGTTGGTCCTATTTTGTAATTGTTTGACTAAATGAAACTAGATATTAGAGGGTAACTCACCTGAGGGAACGCCGTTATCCTCTAAAGATGACACAAGGCACCCTCGGAGTGAGAAACCACCAACAGGGCTGATGTCATCCTGCCAAATGACATAAGACAGGAAGTAGATCAGACTGAGTCACTCATGTAGATGAATTATTGCTAATTATGAGTAGTTACATAGTTTCCAACACATGAAAACAACAGTTTGGGCAGTTCAGTTTCTCTTATCAAACATATTAGAACTGTATGTCTTTCGTTGTTTAGCTGATTTTAATTTTCTAACAGGTATTTTTCTCATTGGCATTGACTTTGCACTCACCTTGGCTGGATCATAATAGTGAAGGAAAGCAGGTTCTGATCGCAAAACAAACAGTCTCACTTTCCAGTTCTTTCTTCTGTGTCCCTGCGTTTAAAGATGAATAAAGTTTGACTAATTCGTTCAAACACAGTGCAAACAAATGACCACCTTTAAGTCAAAGTACATGCACATGGTGCAATGCTAATTTTTGAGCTGCTACAACAGTGTTAATAATATTAGTGAATGGTTGATATATTTAGTTTCTTCTATTAACCATTAAAACTACTATTCATAACTTAGTTTTCTTGTATAAAATTCATAAATATTATTATTTATAGCATCTTAACACATCTTCAATACAGTAGTTTTACCTGTTTAAGCAGATATCCTCTTTTTATCACCTTCCCACTTAGCTCCACTGCAGACAACGATTTCTCTGCTTTCACACTGCCTCTCTTCTTTAAGCTGTCAGACTGTAATAAATCACAAAATATATTCTAAACCAAGAAAATGCCAAGTTTTCATTTACTCTCTCAGATCAATGTGATTAATTAATTAACACTAAAAAGCCACACTCAGTGTTTAGAGCCTGCTAGTTTGCCATTATCCAGTGCTACATACAAAGCTGTACAGAGCAGTGGAGTCATCCATGAATTGCCCGCTGAGGCCGGCAGTGCGAAGTGCCTCCACACTCTTCAGACCAACAGTTCGCAGGAAACCCTCCTCCACAAGGGCCGAGGCCAGCGTCACAGCCTCCACACGGGTAAGAACCAACTGCATGAACACCAGCCAGTCCACCACCGCTGAACCTGTGGGAGGATCACACATGATAGCACATCCATAGTATAAGATCAAAAGAGCTTTGCAATTAGTATGAGGCTGAAAAACATTGCAGAAGCACCTTGTTTCAAATGCTCACCTGAGAAACAGTTACTATAAGTGCTGCCCTGCTCCACATGGTTGCTCAGCTTGATGCCACTGTGCACGTCATACATTGAGTCCAACACCTTGCTTTTTGAAAGAAGACAAAACAAGATTGAGACATTTGGAACAAACTATACCAAATAAATTCAATCAGGAGACAGTGAAAACTTGTTTTTTACCTCAAGCTAATGTTGTTCAACTGGGATTCAGCCGGGTCTGGCTTGTCTGTCTTGGACTTGCCATTAGTTGTTTGCAGATTGTTGACTGCAGCAGTGATATCAGCTGCCCACTCATCTCTCTCCTCCCTGGAACAAGCCTCCAAATAGTGATCGACCCCATGCTTTGTCTGGAGCTTCATTACCAACTATTACAACAACAAAAAGAGACAGATGTTTGCTTTAATTGGTGCCAAAAAAGAAAAGAAAAAGAAACGAAAACAAACTGTTCTCGGCAGAGGATGGAAATCAAGTTCAGGCAAAAAAGAAACCTGGGGCAATAAATTATCTCTCCGAGTATAAGCCTCACCTGGAGAAACACACCTTCACAGTGGCTTCTAGCGATAAGGAAATGAACAAAGGACTGACTAGAAAATTAAAGAAACAGTACTGGGAACTATGATTGAAAAAGTACAATATTATATGAATGAACATTAAACTCTTTGTGCATACTAGAGTAGAAAAAAGCTTTGCTCTATCTGCACTTAAAGCAGACTTAAATTTACTAGTTAACTCCTATGTTTTTAATAATTCTTCAATTATTAAAACAATTTTATTATTATGTTAAAGTTTGGAACTTTATTTGATCAATCCACATACATATTATGTCATATTTGTTCAATCTTTAAATGAAATGTTCCCTTAAAATCTATTTTTATTTTATCTATTTTGTAATCTTTTGAATTTTTTGCAACTCTCTCATTTTATTTGCAGAACCCAGTCTACAGTAGCCTACCGGCCGATTTTCATACTCCAGGAAAGGACATGTTATCACACAGTCCTTTAGCAGGATTTTCCCTCGCTGGCATGAGTCCCTTTTACTTCCTTCATATTTGTAATACAACAACTTGTCTGGGGTCAGCACAAACCAGCGTGCCTTCCAGTTCTGTACAACATGACCCTGTGAAGAGATCCAAAGTTGGAGTTAAAGTTATTAATCATGTCTTATGTGCCAGAGAGCAACTCAATGAAATCTGTCTTACCCTTTTCACCAGAAATCCTTCTCGAAGAATATTGAGTTGCTTGTCTGTATCCATGCTCCTCAGTGGGATCTCGACAACTGAGCTTGCCTGTACATGTAAGCTCAGGCTTTTAATGCAGACTGTAAATGTGTCACCCGGTCTACACCCACATTCACACCCACACACTGACCTTGCTAAACAGTGTGAATAATCATATATTCTGCAATTTCTACTCATTACCACATGAGGGTACTCTGACTCACTTAGAAACTGAGAGACAATGTTTTCTAATGGTATCCACAGATTTAGTTTTCCATCAGTTATAGTATGTGAAAAATTCAGATTTAAGACGTGTGACTGTAGGGAACATCCTCCCGACAGACCAGAACATTTTATCCTATTATGATTTTAAAAACACCAGCTGGTGGTCCACCATAGCCCTTAGGAGCAGCTGTGCCCAATAGGAATAGAGTTTCAGTTTCCTACAGATGTTTATTACTGCACAGAGCACATCTGCCCAGTTAATGAGACTCCAAGAAACAAGCATTTTACTCAGACCCCTGCTTTTACAACCATCTGTGGCACTGTCTGCTTCATTTTCCTTTCCTGATTCCTGGTTCTAACAAAACTGATAACTTTTCTGGTGCTTTGGAATACATACATTAAAATAATAATATAGTTTGTGTTTATTTATTTAGACTTAGATGTATTATGACTGTTGTAGCTCTCTAATGAATCAACATGCTATATACACACACACAATATAATAGACATGAAATTCCAGAAAATTACTTTTCAAAAATTATTTATTTAATATTGTATTAATAAGTGAACAAAGTGCCCTTTTCACATGAAACTGGTGAAGATGTTTTAGGAAAGATTTAAGCTAAATATAGACCTGTTTTTTTCATTGTGACTACTCAAGTTTGTTCTACACAAGTGGGGACTTTATGAACAGAACATTGGTTTTGAATTGTATTTGTTGTAATATTGCATTTTGTATTAGATGCATTGATGTGCAATATTAAACATTTAGTTGAACTTCTGATCATTCTTTGAAAATGTTTTGTTATATTTTACTATTGAATTCAAGCAGTATGAAACCTGTAAAATGCAAACATTTATAACACTTACAGTATTTTAAAGGAATTAAAAGGTAAATAATCGCCATCCATTCACACCAATGGGCAATTTAGAATGACCTATTAACCTGACCCCATGCCTTTGGACTGAGGGAGAAAGCCAGAGTACCTGGAGAGAAGATGCAAACTCCACACAGAAAGACCCTGGCGTAGTGGAATTGAGCTCACAAACTTCTTGCGAGCCAACAGTGCTAACTACCATGCCACCATGTCACCACATAAACTCAAAGGACTAATAGAAAACTGCCCTAGATCTCTTGTGGCTTGGATAAAGCTTTTTGTAACCCTTTCAGCTGCTCACTTTAGGGTTCATCATCATCTGCCTTCATCTTTTCCTATCCCTGCCATTCACCTCTGTCACGATGACTCTCTGCATCTCGTCCTTCACCCCATCAATGAATCTTCTCTGTGCTTCTCCTTCTGCCTGGCAGCAACATATTCAACATCTTTGTCCCGTGTATTCACTATCCACTAACCATCTCAGCCTTGACTCGCTAACTTTGTTACCAAAATGCTCAACCTGAGCTGTCTTTCTTGCTCAAATCGGTCAATAGAAGAAAACTTCAGATACCAGAAATCATGATCCTTGCCTACAGATTTTGCACATTCGTATCGCATCCATAGTGCGTGTCCAGGGCTTTTATTATGAAAGGTAGGGGCAGGAAACATGTTCTCTTATCGACGGGCCGTCATGTTTCCGGTATAGATGCAGGCTCTAGCATCCAGATGTGTTGTTGACGCTGTGTGATGGCTCCAGGTGAGTCTTTGAAAGATGTTGGAATAGCTGACTACTAATTACCTAGTTGGTGCGTGTGTTGTTAATAAAAATCACACCATACGCTTCATAATAATTACGTCGGGCAGCATTGACCGGTTGTGCTATGCTAATATATAATCAGCTACACGAAATTGGCTGCAAAGGGAGGCGACTTTAGCAGAGATGCAGCTCGGAGAAGCACAACTTTGGTTGAAGCATAATTCTTTTATTGTGAAAAAAATCAGGTTTCTACCTAGAACAAATTGAAGAAAAAAAAAAACAACAAGGATGAATCCAAAGTTTAACATAAGTGCATAGCATTTGGAATGACTTTCATATTTATCATAATGCTGATGAGTATTTTCAGATTTGGCTCTAACCCCAAAAACTCTAGTGCAGAAATTGTTGCAGGATTTTATATACAAAACTTGAAATTTCCCTCCAGTATAATTCTTGGAATTCACCATGAATCATTAATGGCTCTGCCACATTGCAGTAAGAATGGACAATGGTGATTGCATCATCATTATTATTATTATCATTATTATTATTATTTAATTACATTCATGGTGGTCGACCAATTTTGATTGGAAAGTGTTTGGTTTATTGTCTCAGACTTTTTGCAATTCCTCCCAGAGAGATTAATGAAGGTCTGCCCATGAATTGCCATCTAATCTGTAACCACAGAAACATTAGCAACATGTTGCAATCAGTCTGAGTCACTCTACAGTAAAGAGTACGACTCTGTGTGTGGAGGAATTTTATGAATTTCTGTGTCAGATCTATGATATCTAGCTTTACTCTGAATACAGATCATTATCGTTAATTTCTGTGTATATAGACTGCTACAGATTTGCAATTTATGCTTATTTATCACAGCTAATTTTTATATTTTCACAAACAGACTGACCTCATTCGATAGTAAACTGAGTCCATCAAACTGTCTTTTTTATCAGGGCTGCAGTTATTGATTGTTTGAGTAATCAAGCAGATTATTGCATCAAATAAATGTGACATATTAAAATCAAAACAAAACATTTTCTTAATTGCAAAAGTAAATAACTAATAATATCAGTTATAGTTATTTCAGTATATCAGAAATGTTAAAAATGTAAGACATACATACAGCCTAAATTAACTAATAAATTAAAGTAGTGTTTACTCTGTCTTGTTGGAAGGCTTCCTTATATTATTAGGGGGCGAAACTTATAATATATGTTTTTCTGTTTAGATGTGCTAATAAATGAGCCTGTATGTGTCTGTAAACCTTTAAAAGGCTCATGTGGTGGCTGCAGTAAAGTAAAGTGAGCATATTAACTTTCTCAGAACTGAGGTTTTCCCTGTGCAACGTTCTGATGGTGTACATGTTAATAATTAATATTAATAATAACTTATAGTCCAGCATCACAGCCCCAGGTCAGTAGCTCACAGTTTCACTGCAGCAGAGATGTCATATTTTGAAATAAAAATATGCTTTAATTAATATAATTTATTGATATTTTATTTTTTATATTTTATATGTTCATATCATATCATATTATCTTTTGTTGGGCTGTCTTGGTTGACACGCCTCTACAATGTTGCGGTGCCATGGTCCTCAGCTGGACAAAGGGTGGAGTGCCCACTCTGGGTCAGGGATGAGTTCTTGCCCCAAGTGGAAGAGTGACTGGAGAAGGGTGCGGGAGAACAACAGACAGATTGGTGCTGCGGCTGCAGTGATGCGGATGCTGTACTGGTCTGTTGTGGTGAAGAGAGAGTTGAGCGTGAAAGCGAAGCTCTCAATTTACCGGTTGATCTGCGTCCCTACCCTCACCTATGGTCACGAGCTGTGGGTAGTGACCGAAAGAACGAGATCGCGGATAAAAGCAGCAGAAAAGGGCTTCCTCTGAAGGGTGGCTGGCCTCTCCCTTAGAGATAGGGTGATAAGTTCGGCCATTTGGGAGGGGCTCAGAGTTGCTGCTCCTTCACATCAAAAGTAGCCAGATCGGCATGTGACAAGGGAACGCCTTGGTGTTCCCCCGGATGAGCTGGAGGTGGTGGCTGAGAAGAGGGAGGTCTGGGCTTCTCTGCGTGGGCTGCTTTCCCTGCGACCCAGCCCCAGATAAGCGGAAGAAGATGGATGGATATTTTATATTAATCTAAATCTGCAAAGTAATGTTATGAAAGCCTTAAAATAAATATGTTAGCAGAACGTGATGCCTGTGATGCTTGCTTCAGGTGTCACTGCGATAGAAAGTTAAATAAATCCTCTTTTTAAAAACACAACAATTTGTAAACTTTTTATTTTTTTACACTTCTGCAGCATTAGTGTAGATTTCCGTCATGTAAAACAATCAGCAGCTGTTGTAGTTTGTTGAACAGGTGGTTTAAATTAAGGTTGCAAATTATAGCATCAAGTCCACCTGAGCTCAGAGTCTCATTAAAGGCTCTTCTCTTTGCACTGCACCACGTCTTTGTAGACTGTCTCTGGCTTCACGTTAAACTATGGCAGGTTACTACTGCTACTGTGTTATACTTTTTCTCACACACACACACACACACACACACACACACTCATAACTCTGTTTCTTTAGCAGGTTGATATTTAGTTGTAAATGTGGGTGAAATACTTACATGGTGACAGCTGTGCGATGCAGAGTCGTGGATTTTAAAAAAAAGCATCGAAGCAAAGAATTTGCATTTGGGGGATGACCCAAAATGCAATATGTATCATCAACAGAAATCTGCATTGTTTGCCGTTAGTTCAGATTACTTTTTGATCATTTAGCAAGAAGAAGAAGAGTGCATATATCGCTGAGTAAATTAAACATCAGGTACATCATAACATTTCATTTCATATTGGCTAGGGGTGAATTTTTATTTTTTAGAGATCAAGTCCAGCTGTATCTGTGCACTTTTCTTTAGTTGAGATGAAAATACAATTCTTTGAAATTAAATTGTTTAGTAATTTTGAACTAAGGAAATGTATAAAAGGCAGCCAGTACGGCCCAAATATTTTCTACTGTGGGTGAGAGTGCAGGCCAGAGGGAGCTAGATGGCATCAAATGAAAGGCCACAACTATGTTGTGTTCATTCTTAGGCTAATACGCCTGTATATCACAACATACCAAACAGCAAGTTAATTTGCAATAATTTTAGCAATAATACTACTACTATTTTAGTTTGAATATTAGGGTAATCATATTATTGAGAAAGCTTCTGGCACCTCACAGAATTAACTGTAACACTTAATTTCCTTCTTCAGTCCAACACTGAATCCACCTTAATCCACCATGTAAGTGAGCAGGATTACTATTGCATAAAAACACCATCAGTAGGTTAAAATTAACCTGTGTCACAACATTTATAAGGCCTGTGCTAATCTTATAATTCACTGGTGGAAAACCTTAAGTGGTCAAGTTGCCTTCAAATCATAGTTACTTAGGAAACATTGTTACGTTATTGGTGGATTTCATTTTGGCGTTTTAATCGTTTTTTGTTTTATTGGTTTCTACGAGCAGTTTTGTTTAATTTGATCAAATTAAACAGTATTGTGTGTTTGCAGTAATCATTGAACTCCATAACATAAAATAATAACACCAGCATGATTACAAAGTTGCCATTGTTCATTATGAGTGTGTGTGTTTCAGTGTTTCCTGCAGATGTTCAGCAGCTGTTGGTGATAAAAGAAGAGATTCCCTATGAATGCAGCCCTAATCTGGACCATCATGACTCAGAGCTTCTTCACATAAAGGAGGAACAGGAGGAACTCTGGAAAAGTCAAGAGGGAGAACAGCTCAGTGGGCTGGATAATAACTCTGGGTTCCCATTCACTGAGGTTCATGTGAAGAGTGAAGATGATGATGAGAAACCTCAGTTCTCAACGCTTCATCAAAGCCAAACTGAAAACAGCAGAGAGACAGAGCCTCCAGCTAGCAGCTCAGCTGAACAGATAAAAACAGAAATCAGTGAAGAAGACAGTGGACCATCAGAATCAGAACCACATGCAAACTGTCATTTACAATCTAATACTGATGGAGAGACTTCAGAGTCTTCTGAGACGGAAGTCAGTGAGGACGATGATTGGCAGGAACCTTTGTCAGATTTTGGACCAGAAACTGATGACAACGACAGCACGTTAAACAACAGCAGAGCACCTGGGTCATGTGTAAATAAGGATGTGGGATTTAAGATTGCAAAACAGTCTTTAGGTTGCTCTGAGTGTGGTAAACAGTTTGTCTGCAAGCAGTCTCTTCGGAAGCATGTGACATGTCACTCAGAAAAAAGGTCTTCCAACAGTTTGGTTAATGAGAAACATTGTAGAGTGGATCAAAACTGTGATTCTCATATGACCGTCCACACAGGAGAGAAATCAGTTAGCTGTGACGATTGTGGTAAAAGATTTAATCAAATGAGAGATCTTAAAATACACACACGAGTCCACACAGGAGAAAGACCATTTGATTGCAGTGAGTGTGGCAAAAGATTTAGATATCAAGGAAGTTTGTATGTACACATGAGACTCCATGGTGGAGAGAAACCATTTTCTTGTAATAAATGCGGTAAAAGGTTTAACCTCAAGACAAATCTTAACAGACACTTAAGATCCCACACTGAAGAGAAACCGTTTAGCTGTCACATTTGTGGGCAAAGATTTAACTATAAAAGAAATCTTAACATGCACATAAGAGTGCACACAGGAGAGAAACCTTTTAGTTGTGACGATTGTGGACAAAAATTTAACCAAAACAGAGATCTTAGGAGACACATGAGAGTTCACACAGAAGAGAAACCGTATGTCTGTGGCGATTGTGGTAAAAAATTTAGTTATCAGTGTAATCTGAAGAGACACATGGCACTTCACAAAGGAGAGAAACATTTTGCTTGTGGGGTTTGTGGTAACAGCTTTAACAGAGAGGGGAATCTAAAGATACACATGAGAGTCCACACAGGAGAGAAACCATTTGGCTGTGACACTTGTGGTAAAAGGTTTAACCAAAAGATACATCTTGAGACGCACATCAGAGTTCACACAGGTGAGAAACCTTTTGACTGTGAGTTTTGTGGCAAAAGATTTAGACACCAGTGTAATCTAAAGATACACATGAAAGGTCACACAGAATAGTTTAGTAATAGATACAAATCGAATTTCAGCTGTTCCTTTATTCACAAGCGGTTGCCACAGTTTTTACACATACCCTTGCTTACGCAGTTGTTCCACATTTTTTTCATGTTACAGTTTTACTTCAAAATGTATTACATTTATTTTTCACCTCAAAATTCTACAAACAATCATTTAAAATCAAAAAGCAAAATATAAAATGTACAAAAATATTCACACCCTGTGCTGTGACAATCAAAAGGAAGCTCAGGCAGCTGAGAGATTATGGCAAAAGGGCTTTAGTCAGGGAGGTGACCAAGACCCCAATGGTCACTCTGACAGAGCTCTGGTATCGTTCTGTAGAGAAAGAAGAAGCTTCCAAAAGGACAACCATTTCTGCAGTACTCTACCAATCAGGCCTTTATGGTATAGTGACCAGTCAGAAGCCACTCCTTAGTAAAAAGCAAATGACTGTCCACCTGGAATTTGTCAAAAGGGACCTGAAGGACTCTCAGACCATGAGAAACAAAATTCTCCAGTCTGATGGAACAAAGATTGAACTCTTTAGCCTGAAGGTCATGTGTGGAGGAAACCAGCCAACAATCATCAACTGGCCCATACCATCCCTACATTAAAGCTGCTGGTGGGGGCAACATCATGATGTGGGGATGTTTTCAGCGGCAGGAACTGAAACTAGTCACAGTCAAGGGAAATATGAATGCAGCAGTGTTTAGAGATACCTTGAACTGAGGTGAAGACTGATCTTCCAACTAGACAGCAATCCAAAAAAACTTGAGGCTGTAATTGTTGCCAGAAGTGCTTCAAAGTATTGAAGAAAACATGTACATGAGTATTCACAGCCTATATTTTTCATTTTTTATTTGCAAGAATTTTGAGCAAGCATTTTTCACTTTGTCATTATGCGGCAGTGTTTGTCGAATTTAGAGGTGAAAAATGAAGTTGTAACATAACAACAAGGAGCAAGAAAACCACTGTGAATACTTTTCAGGTGCTCTGTGTGTCTCTTCCCAGGATCAAATCTGAAAACTACTACACTATGGAGACATTCATAAATTATATGAATAATAGAGTAATATATATATATGAAGCCATTTGGTTCTGTAGCATATTTTGAGAAACTCCTTCAACATTTTTAACCTTATGTTTTTATGAGTGTGTGACACCAGATTATTAAAGCAACTTCAGATGACAAAGTTCTCTCCAATCTGTATAGGATTGAGGGTGTAGAGCAGCGGTCCCCAACCCCCGGGCCTCAGACCGGTATCGGTCCGTGAGTCGTTTGGTACCGGGCTGCGAGAGTTGAGGCTCAGGTGTGAAATGTATGGTTTTCAGGGTTTTTATCAGTTTTCAGTATTATTATGTTATCGTTTTTATCGTTAACTCTGTTTTCCTGGGTCTGTTCACGTGTGTTATGAATAAATATTATTTTTTTCGGTACCGGTACTAGTTTTATTTTGTTGTATTTATCCGCAACACCTTAAAGGCCGGTCCGTGAAAATATTGTCAGGCATAAACCGGTCCGTGGCGCAAAAAAGGTTGGGGACTGCTGGTCTAGAGGGTATCAATACTTTTTGTAACAGCCTTTTATCTTAATGGAATGATTTCAAGTATCTTTCAGTCATAATTTCTAGGTATTTTGTTGTTTGTAGCGCATAAATAACTCATGTTTATATGTATATAGAGCATGTCACTATTTTGTACATTTATGAGACATTTTGCTTGAATTGGATTGTATTCATTTTACATGAAGTAAAGTTAAATGCTGATAATAAAAGGAGAGATGTGGTAGTAGGTGAAGTGTCACTAATGAGATCAGTGGCGATGTTACACTGAACAGTAAATAATGTGTTAGTTTTAAACTGCAGTGTTGCCATTTTAACGTGTCCTGTGTAATATTTAGAGTATTTTTTTTTACTGAATTTGAAATGTGTATTTTTAAAGTTAATATTTGTATATTATGTTTTGAGAGTCAACCTGGAAATTGCACACCAGCAAACTGCATGTGCATCACCTGGGAGACCTGCTCTTCTCCGATTGGTTATCATGTCCTTAGCCATCTGAAAAAAACTCCACTGTTTAAGATTAAGACAGAGGCAAATGAGGTGATGAGTGTAAAAAATAGTCAGTGCTCCAAATCCATAAAAATATTTATATTTCACTGTGAGATGTTGATACTTACAGATATTACTCACCAGATTTTGGAGTGAAATAATGCGCTCTTTACCTCACTACACTTACCCGACAGCTGGGATATTAGGAAAAAGTTATGGCACATTACTATTACTCATTTATTTCTCATACCTAACACCTGTTTATATTATTCATATAATAAGGTATGAATGATGAAATAATATTTATTAATTATTCATATCATATCTTTCTTTAGTGTTAGTGTTGGTTCTGTGGGTGTGCATTTGCACATGTGTTTTGTTAAGTCTTTGATTAAAATGACAACATGTCTTTAATACATGTTGAGGAAATCTGCTCATTATAATTTCTCAGTTTAAATCATTTTAGGTGGGAAGTCATTAAATATAACAATATTTATTACAGTTTTCATAATTTTTCATTTTTTTAACAAAACATAAATGGCTCTGTTGTACCTCATGCTGGATGATGTTGACAACGTAAAAAAAAATCTGTAGTTTTTTCACAGGAATATTTGTTATTTTTTTAATCCCAGAAATATCTGTAAATTGCTTTAACAAACTTCTTCTTCATGAGAGTGTCGCTTTGGTAAGCGATCAGTCTGGTACTCTATTACTTCTGCTTAAGTACAAACACGAAACTGCAGAGACAAAGCTTTAATCCTTTTGGTTTAGCCTGTATCTTCAGATAATGGATAATACATCCAGATTGTTTAAAATACAGATAATTTAATAGTCATCTATTTCAAGCTTGCATTTTGACCTAATTCATCTCCTTTGCTTCACACAGACTGTTTTTTGTATGTATTCAGCAAAAACCTACTTAAACGTAATTGGTTGAGAAAATTACAAGCCAACTACAGGAAAGCTTATGGTACAAAAAGTGATGGCATTTTCCCTTAGACAGACTGTTTTCCTGCTCATTGTACAGAAGGCGATGGTCTTTGTCATACAGATTCACTAATACAGTTTAAGGATAATAAAGAATGTATCTAGGGCTTTTATTATGAAAAATAGACCGGAAGTAGGTGCATTATTGCGCAGGGGAAGAACAAGTTGTGTTTCCGGTGCGGGTGGCGCATCATCAGGCAGGAGCATCCAGAGGTAGAGTAGAAGGTGTATAATGGCTGCGGGTGAGTGTTTTGAACTTGTTGAACTAATTAGCGGTGATCTGTGAGGTCAGCGGGTTTTTTGTGAATGAAAATCTCCGCATATGGCTCCAAACAGTGCGCAGCTTGCCACGTTTGCGTCAGTCTGAACAAGCGTCCCCCCAACATGTAGTCAGCTACATGAACTGATACCTTCCAATAGACGGAGAGAAGGAGCTAAGGGAGGCAGCTAAGCGACACACGGACATTAAGCATGGTCGTATGGGAGCAGTGAAGGCAGATACTCGTCTGATAGATACAACCCCATTTCCAAACAAAGTTGTGTAAAATGTAAACAAAGACTGAATGCAGTGGTTTGCAAATCTCATAAACCCATATTTAATTCACAATAGAACACAGAAAGCATACCACATCTATAAACTGGAAAAATGTACCGTTTTAAGAAAAGAAATGAGATCATTTTGAATTTGATGGCAAGTTGGGACAGGGTCATGGACACGAGAGCATAGGAACAAGAGCAACCAACTTTGACTGAGGGGCATTTGGCTCAAGTAAATTTACTATTCCATTTAAAAAAAACAAATGCTCTCACACAGTCTGCATAACTGCAGCCATGCATGTACACTCAGAGAGCTGTAGCCACAGTTATAAAAGTGCATACATGTCTTTGATTGCAGAGGCGACAAACAAGAGAGACATTATCTGTGCAAACAGCTGACTATGAGCAAAAAGTATCCTCAAAACATTAACATTTGATTTGCAGAATCCTAGTAGACTGATACTTTAAAACCAGCAGCACAAGCTGATGTGTGACCTCTTTTTAGAATCAAAGACACGCCTTCCCAAAGTCTGACCTGCACGGGTCCATCAGCTCAGTGTCCCCCTCGGTCATGCTCGTTAGCACTATTGCAATAAAACCATTAAACCACTGTTAACCAGATAAATAATCTAAGCTTGCAAAACATTTAGCTGTGACATTTGACAGGTTGTCTGTGTTCTATTGTGAATAAAAAAATGTGGATTTATGAGACTTGCAAATCTGTTTTATTTACATTTTATGCAGTGCCACAACATTTTTACAATTGTGATGGCATATGCAATTCCTCTAATTTTGGATCATTAGCATACAGATTACAGAAAAATTGTACACAAAAAAACTTCATAAAATGCAAAAAGTTGAAGTATTAAAAACAAGAAATCCAGCTGTGCAAAGAAGTCAATGTCCATCATTAGCTTGTCCCAGAGGAATGAAAATACTCAATGAATGTTACCTGCATTTAAAAATATGGAGAAAAGGACCACTTCAAATGATTGATTTTGTATTTCCTGGTCTAAAATGTTTGTTTAATGGTTAAATATTAGCTCAGGAATCAAATAGTTCACCCTGACAGAGAAAAAAAAATACATTTATAAGTATTCCCTGTTAACTGAAACAGTTCAGTAAAAGCAAATCTATCCTGCTGATTTTTATGTTATAGGTTAGTAGTAGGTAGCAGTAGTGGGTGTAATATTCAGCAATAGGAAATAGTGGGGTGAGAATAAATTTGGAGCATTGTAAAGGTGTATGATACCAATAGCTGTACATATCAGAAGAGGAGCTGCATGGCTAGTGTTGAGTTGTGTATTTTGGCAGAAATGAAAACTGAATACTCAGACGGACACTCGGACACTCAGAGTTGAAATGATTTGTTGAACTGGGAGAATATACGGGCATTTGTATACCCTTCAGCCGTAAAAGCCTGATAGGGTATTGTTGACACCCCACCTGGTAGGTGGACGATGTGGACACCCAGGTTTGTGCATGTGATAAATTGTCATAGAGGTGATGTATTGTTTTTGAAATTCATAACGCCGGCACATCAACTGAAAGATTACCCTCACTTCAAGGTTAAGATGAGAAGTCAACTTTTCTGAAAACTACCCATGATTTTCAAATTTATAACATAGGTTCATCTGCTAAGAGGCTGAGGGGCAGCACTGCTGGCTGGATGGCAATGTCATTTTCTATTAGGTGGTCACAGTTTAGATTAATTTAGATTATATTTAATAGCACTGTGTATCCACAGTCATCTCAGATCTCACTAACATTGAGTATTAGTAACAGTGATAAGTTATCTGATTATAGAGTTTTTGCTCTTAATTATGAGTGTGTGTGTGTGTGTGTTTCAGTCTTCCCTGTAGATGTCCAGCAGCTACTGGTGATAAAAGAAGAGGTTTCCCATGAATGTGAATGGAGCCCCAGTGTGAACCATCCTGACTCAGAGCTGTGGAAAAATCAAGAGCGAGTTCACTGTAATGGGCTGGAGGAGGATATCAAGAGGTTTCCATTTACTGTTGTTCATGTGAAGAGTGAAGATGAAGAAGAGAAGCCTCAGTCCTTAAAGGTTCATCAAAGCCAAAATAAAAACAAGATAGAGACGGAGACTCAAGTGAGCAACTCCTCTGAACAGAGGAAAATGGACCAAAGTACAAATAACAATATACAAACAAATACTGATGGCGAAGCACCGGAATCTTCTGAGACTGAAGTCAGTGAGGATGGCTGGCAGGAACCTTTGTCAGATTGTGGACCTGAAACTGACGACAGCGACAGCCGATTGAATGACGACAGAACACCTGAGTCAGGTGTAAATAATGCAAAAATGTCTTCCAGCTGTTTGGTGAATGAGAGAAGTTCTAGAGTGGAGCAAAGTGTCGATTCTCAGATGAAGCGATTTGGATGTGATGATTGTGGTAAACGATTTAACCAAATGAAAGATCTTAGAGTACACATGAGAGTCCACACGGGAGAAAGACCATTCTGTTGTGCAGATTGTGGTAAAAGATTTAGATATCAAGGAAGTCTGAATGTACACATGAGGCTCCATGCTGGAGAGAAACCGTATGCTTGTGATAAATGCGGTAAAAGATTTAGCCTAAAGACAAACCTTACCAGACACATAAGAGTCCACACAGGGGAGAAACCATTTAGCTGTGACATTTGTGGACAAAGATTTAACTATCGAAGAAACCTTAACATGCACATAAGAGTGCACACAGGAGAGAAACCTTTTAGTTGCGACAATTGTGGGCAAAAATTTAACCAAAAGATTGAACTTAGGAGACACATGAGAGTTCACACAGAAGAGAAACCGTATACCTGTGGTGATTGTGGTAAAACGTTTAGTTACCAGTGTAATCTGAAGACACACATGGCACTCCACAAAGGAGAGAAACAGTTTGTTTGTGGTGTTTGTGGTAACATATTTAACCAAGAGGGGAATCTAAAGATACACATGAGGGTCCACACAGGAGAGAAACCATTTGGTTGCGATTTCTGTGGTAAAAGGTTTAATCAAAAGATTCATCTTGAGACGCACATTAGAGTTCACACAGGGGAGAAACCTTATAACTGTGGATTTTGTGGCAAAAGATTTAGACACCAGTGTAATCTAAAGATACACACCAAACTCCACAAGGAATAAATAAGTATTGAGAGTCTCAACGGGATTTCTTCCCGTGACTGGGAGTAGTGATGCCCATCAAAATGATCAATGATGTGCAAAACAGTGTTCTTATCAGTACTGTTTTTATTTTTGACAAAGCTAGCCCCAACTTCCAATTTTCAAAGGTGGAAAATGTTTGTCATTTTGTTGCCAAAATTCAAAAATGTGTTTGTTTGATTGTTTTTCCTTGACATAACTGTGCTTTTCTTACTCATTAATTTTACTGGTCTACTGGTCCAATTCTCGTCTTTACGCAGCAACAAACTGTCCTTGAGAGTTCAGTCAGACTTGTGCCACATATCAAACACACGTTTACCACTATAAGAGATCCTTTTCATATATATATTGGCTTCATCATTCTGGTAAGTGATAGCAGTCTGTCAGTCAGACGTGACAAACTTTAACACTAATACAGGCATCATTAATATAATTGCTGGTGTTAATAATTTCAGAGTCTCAGCTGAATGTTCACTGCTTAGAATAGTTTTCATTTGCTTATTTCTTAACTTATTTGCTTTATCACACAAGATCACTGAAACCCAGATTTCCAAATGAATAAGGACCGGAAATCTTAACACCAGTTATCAGCCTTCACATGTATTTTGTAACATGATGGAAAATTCAGATGACGTCTCATTGCAAGTACTTTAAACCACTGAAGAATTGAAAGATGGCCTCTGGTATTTTCAAAACTGTTAAAATAATATTTTTTGTGTGGTATATAAACATACTATATGATACTGCACAGTCCAAAAGGTGCAGTGGCACTATCGTGTAGTGATTAACAGTTTTGCCTAACACCTGAAAAGTCTGAGTCAAGCCTGGGAGGAGACGCAAATCCCAAAGAGGGTTGCGTCATGCAGGACATCTGGTGTAAAAATTTTGTAGTCATACTGAATTTTACACAACTTCTTTATGATAAGCATATTGTGTATTTGTGGTAGCATATTTTTTTTATTTTTGTTGATTGAGTTCTACTCATTTCCAATAGTATATTTAGCTCATTCAGCCAAAGGACCTGTGAACTTATCGTTACTCATTAGTCCTCCTATAGAAATTATCAAACTTACAAATAATGGTCTTTGGGCTTTACCTTACAATATAAAGCGTCTCAAGATAGCATCATTTCCTTAGGGATTATTAAAGTATTCTGATTCTGATTGTGAAGATCAAGGTTACGTTTGTCACTTTACAGGCAATAATCTGTGAATTGTGAGAAAACTGAGCTGCTGGGTTATTGACATTATGCTCTGGTTTTTGGTACATTAAAAATATGTATATAGAGTATATTCCACTTTGACTTTTATTTAGTAAGTTTATGAGATATTTTACTTGAATTAATCGTCACTAATTTGCACAGAGATAACTACTTTGCCTTTTTTAATTCATGTTCTTTTACCGTGCTGTAAATAATGTTTAAACCTGGATTATAACAGCACCATGAGGTATGAACAGTGAGATTGATGGTGATGTTACATTAAACAGTGTTTTTTGTGTTGGTTATTTGTTAGCTGTTACCATTTTTATTATGTACAATAGTGACAAGGTTTTTGTTTTTGATTTGTTAATGAATTTAAAATTTAAAGTCAAGCCAAGTTTATTTATATCACAACAGACATCAACCGAAGTGCAGCACAACAATCGGTAAAACAATTAAAAAGACAGATTTACATAGCATTAGGAGGACAGGCTAAAGAGAAATGGTGAGTCTTAAGTTGAGGTTTGTTGGCTGTTGTTGAAGCAGGCAGTCTGACCTGGAAGGGGAGATTGTGCCAGAGTTTCAGAGTTATGTCTTTATACCCCAGTCAGTAGATACTGATACTTGTGTATGATCGATGCAAACATTTACAACTAAGGAATTTTATAGTGAACTCTAAACTGCACAGGTAGCTAGTGTAACAATGCCAAGGCTGGTGAAATATGTTCATGTTTTTCTTTACCAGTCAGATAAGGCATCTGGTGTAAAAGATGTCCCAAATCAAACAGATACCCACTTTGGCAACCAGAGAACAGCCAAAAGTAGCTGCTTCAAATTTTCAGACCACAAGTTTTTACCAGACAGATGTGTAGCATCGTCTAGAATCAATTCTTGGTGTCTAGCATTGCAATTGCATTAAAATCCACTGATAAAATCATATGATTTGTGCAGACAGACACTTCTAGTCTCTCTCACTCATACATTCTGAAACTGCACAAATATCAAAATAATACATTTTTAGACCAGGACATTTCAGACTGTCTAAAGTTTTGCATAAACATCGCTGTGGATTCTGG